GGTGGGATCCTTGTCATGTTTAAATGGGACCAAGCAAAACAATCCATGTTATCAATAAGAAATTGAATGAGTTTTATCCTGAGTTCGGGGGTTAACCCCGTTCCCAGGTGTACTTTTTTCTCGGGCATATACTCGATTAGTATGACCTGTTCCAGCTCTTCGACTGTTGACTTGGTTGCATCTGACTCTTCGAGAATAACAAAAGTTCGAGGAGTAAGGAAATCCTCTTCTTCTTCTTCGATTACCTGTTTCTCAGATTCGGTCGAGGCCGGAGACGGTGATTGCTACTTGGTCATCTGCTTATCTTTGGTGTTCGATTTTTCCGAGATCGAAGATGCTGGGATCGGTGTCACCTCATCAACTGCAAACATTTCCTTTGCAGCGTGTTGTTCCCCGTAAATTTTCTTCACCCCATCCACTATTGGGAATTTCATCATCTAATGAACGGTTGATGGTACTGTCCTCATGTTGTGGATCCATGGCCTCCAAAGCAGTGCATTATATCTCATGTCTCCTTCAATGACATGGAATTTTGTATCTTGGATGGTCTCGGCCACGTTCACTGGTAGGATTATCTCCCCCTTCGTTGTTTCACTAGCCATGTTAAAGCCATTTAGGACTCAAGATGCAGGTATAATTTGGTTCATGTAGGCCGAGTTTCTCCACAACACTTGATCTGATTATGTTTGCTGAGCTACCTGGATCCACTAGAACACGTTTAACTTGAATTTTATTTAACAAAATAGAAATTACCACGGCGTCATTGTGCGGCTGAGATATGCCTTCCGCTTCCTCATCATTGAATGACAGGACGCCCTCGGGCTCATAACTCTGAGTCTATTTTTCTCTGGTGATCGACACCTTGGTGCGTTTGAATATGGGCACTTGTGGAACATCGACACCGCCAACGATCATATGAATTACATGTTGTGGTTCTTCTTGTTCATTTTTTCTGTTTGCATCTCTTTCTCTGAAGTGATTCTTAGCTCGATCACTGAGAAACTCTCGAAGATGACCCTCGTTGAACAAGCGAGCTACCTCCTCCCTCAGTTGTCTGCAATCTTCGGTCTTATGGCCATGTGTACCATGATATTTGCACATCAAATTTGGGTTTCTCTGAGAAGGATCGGTTTGTATAGGTCTGGGACACCTAGTGTCTTTGATTCTTCCGATAGACAATACAATCCCCGATGCATAACCACTGAAATTATACTCCGATAAACGAGGCACTTCTGTAGGATCGGTATGTCTATCAAAACCATTCTTACTCATAAGTCCCCGAGAACTTTGTCCTCGATCATTTCTTCAATCATTTAGAGGAGGATTGCGCCCCGAACCATTATTTCTTCGATCTGCGACGTATAGCCGATACTGTTCTCTATCCGACCTTGGTTTCCTATCGGTATCCCTCGAGGCTTTAACTACCAATCTGTTTGGGTGAACTGAACCTGAGGGGGCTGTCTTTGACCCTGATCTTCGACTAATAGTGATTTTGCACATCTGCCCTAGTTACAGCTGGATACTTAACCAAATTTTGTTTTAACGCCCGTGATGCTATCGAACTCTGCTCGTTCAAACCCTGAGTGAAAGTTTGAATGGCCCAATCATCGGAGACCGGTGGTAACTCCGAACGTTCCATTTGATACCGGGACACAAACTCCCTCAGCATTTCGTTATTCCTTTGCTTTATCTTGAAGACGTCTGATTTCCTCGTAGCGACCTTTATGGCCCTGATGTGCACTTTCACAAATGAGTTTGTTCACATTGCGAATGAATCAATGGAATTCAGTGATAAATTGTGACACCAAATCATTACTCCCTTTGATAGAGTTTCCCCAAAGTTTTTTAACAAAACGGACTCGATCTCCTCATCTTCTAAGTCATTTCCTTTTGTGCCACATGTGTATGTAGTGATATGCTCATTAGGATCGGTGGTCTTGTTGTATTTTTGTATATCTGACGTACCGAACTTCTTTCGGATGGGCTTCGAAGCCGCACCCTGGGGAAAAGGCTTCTGCAAGAACTTTTTTGAATCCAAACCCTTTAACATCGAGAGTGCCCCTGGTATCTGATCAACTCAGGAGTTATATATTTCCATTTTTTTGTCATTGTCTTCGATTTTCTTTTCTCCTGACTAGATTCTTTTGATGAGCTCCTTGAGCATTTTCATAATCACAGGATCAGCCCCTGATCTACTACCATTAGTTCTTTCCCGCACCGGCTTGGTACGGTGAGTGATTTCCGGCTCGACCACACTCGGAGTCCTGTGTAAACACTGAAGCTTAGCAATAGCGGCCTGTTGAGCTAGCAACATCTCGAATATCACTTGGAGACTAACTCCCCCGTTTCCTACATCCTGCTTTCCGTAGCCATTCGGTCGGTCTTCTCTGCGTATGCTCCCTTCGGGGTCTGCGTGTAAAGCAACCCTTGAACTGATATCAATAGGGTTGGCAATCGGTACTTCCCCAGGGTTAATAGGTGGCACCCCGACTCCTGGAGCAACTACATGATCATTTTCACCATGGGATCCAATACCATCATTGTCATGCACATGTGCGTTTTGTGAGCTTGACATGTTTTATCCTGAAAGCAAAAAATTCATGACAAGATTAAGTGTGAAAAATATCGTGTGTTATCAGAATCAGTACTGAAGTAATCACTATTATCTTTAGCCTCACAGGGGGCGCCAAACTGTTTACCTCGAAAATATGAGTAACAATTAAACTTGTTTCTGGTTTTAAAGATAAGTGATCCAATTCAAAACTAATTATCAACCAAGAAATCAAACGTATAAATTAAAGAAGTAAGTTGAATCAAACCAGTGTTTAAGCAAGCCTTAACTTAGAGCTATGATAGGCTTGAGGTTGGTCAGCAAAACAGTAAAGTAAAGACAATAAAGTTAAGAGAGAATTTTGATGAATAGTGAGCAAGAAAGTAAGAAAATATATTCTTTTTCCAATGATTGATGATGTTACAAATGAATGGGCTCCCCTTTATATAATGGGGGGAATCCTAAATAAGGTACATTTTCGTTTTTAATAAGGAATCTAATTGTACAGCTGTCTAACCGCCTAGTACGGATTCGTACAAATCCGTTCTGGAATTTACGCATTGATCTTTGGGCCATTGCAGAAATCTTGCTTATTCTATTACAAAACTACAACGGCATTATCTCGAGACTGGATATGCTCGGCCTCGATATTCATCGGTCACTCTGATCTTCAAACATCGAGTTCCGCCATCAGGCTCGAACTCAGTCTACTTCGGACTCGATCTTGAAGTGGTTCCTCGAGCCCACTAAATCGGGCAAATCGGATTTTGACTGTACATTACTATAAATCATCTTATTATGGGCAAAATAAATTCTTAAAGTAAATTTTTACTAAATATATAAACGTGCCGTTTTTGGAATTGATTAAAAAAAAAAAAAAAAGAATGTCACACAAATTAGACGGAGGAATAGAAAGACACATATAATCAAGCTAAAGTTGAAGTAAGAAATGTTGCTGGATAAAATTGAACCTTTATTGAGTCTTAATTCCGAAAAAATTAGCTTTTCTGAGAAACGTGATACCACACTTCTCTTATTTGTTTGTTTGTTTGGACCATTTGGTGTGCCAGGTGACAAATAGGAGCTAACATTCCTCGTAGCCTCTGTGCATCATGACACTAGTACATGTAAATGTCTTTAATTTGAAAGGCCATAGCAAATCAATTCCTATCCTTTTCTGAATTATCCTATTGTCGGTTTCTTTGAATACAACCTGCTTTAAAAAATACATGCGTATATATTTACTACATCATAACCAGGGACGATGCAGTGTTGTAGTTACGGATTCAATTGAACTCATAACTTTTCACGCGAACTAAAAATTTATGTGTAAAAATTCATTAAAATTACAAAAATAATAGATTTGAACCTATAACCTTAAAAATATAATGAGTTCAATGTTAAAAATCTTAAAAGTTGAACTCATAGAATTTAAATCCTGGATCCGCCTCTGATACATGTCATAAGAAACCAGATCCATGCGAAAGCTTCATTCGTATGTAGCAAATATTGCAATGATTCGCTGAAAATATCAAGCACCAGAGAATAATGCAAAAGTTTGGGCTAACTTAGCTGAAAGATACAGCAAAAATAAATATTAGTATTACTAATTAGTTGGTCCTGGAAAATATGTTGGTAAATAAGCTCTGTGATCTTCATTTAATTTTCTCATTCAATGGCACATTGTTTATTTGTTCCCTAATTTTCCTTGAAAACTATCTCCACATTACCGGTTTAAACCTCACCAACCCTCAGCAGCCCATGTGCTTACTACGGTTTTGTGGCAGTAAATTACCTGTTTAGGATCTCAAGCTGGCATATTTTAAAGGTTAATGAAAAATGAATTCAAACCAAAACTGATCAATCATATGTCAGAGCCATGTGGGGGAACTATGCCATCAACTTGGGCCATTAATCAAACAAGTTGGTGTAGATCATTATCTGCAAGGTCTTGACTTGTAAATATTTTAAGTATATGAAAAAATTCCAAAAAATCCAACCGTCCACGTGACATGCTGAATTTAGATGCCATCAAAGAGTTGAAAATTGTTTATCTGACCTTAGGCATTTATTTGATTATTTCTTATAAAAATTTCATTATTTTGGCAATATGGAGCATTTGTTATAGAAATTTGAGTTTATGAGTTAAAGAAATTTGCTATAGAAATTTTTGGATTTTAGAAAAGGCAGCTTATTGAGTTCAAGATAAATTATTTACACATTCAGTGGATTTCTTAACACATACAATATTTTGTGCAAAATTATTAAATTCGCTGAACCCGTATCTAGAACTCTAGCTCCGCCTCACAAAATCTCAATAATTCTAACCCAAGAACAGTAAAATTGCCTTTTTGTTCTGAATAGTGGTTCCGGAGCTGTTTGTATGCACCTCAACTACTACATCATATACTTATTGCCTCACATCAAGCACAAACACCAAACAACTCTGTCCCAAAAAAGACTTTATAGTTCTTATTCCACAAATTAAAGGGGAGACAATATAGACCAGACAAATTAGAGAAAACCATCAATCTCATTAGTTATTGAAACCAGGAACAAAGTATGTCTCATTCAGCATTGAGATTAAGGAAATTGCTATCATAAGAGAAAATAGAACAAGTAAAAGCCTTCATCTTATTCAAAAGGGCATGCATATTCAACCCATAATTCTTGATCAATGCTTGTGGAAATCTGGATCCTTAACAACAGTCACAGCACATGTCGCATTAGTCAATACATAGTTGGTCACACTTCCCATTATTATCCTGTTTTATCACCAAAACCAAAAGATACATATCCAAATATTAACGGCAATACATATTACTTGAATAACATAAATCAAAGATCAATTTTTAGCTAATAAATTTTCAAAAAGAATTAGAAATTTTGGACAGAGCAGTACCTTTGGAGGGTACCGAGGCCTCTACTACCCATAACCAAAGAATCCAGCTTCAGATCGCCAGTTGCATCTATGAGTTTCTCCCTAGCATCTCCCCAGTATAATTTAGTGACAACTTTTATCTATACAAAGATCAATGAAATATTTTCAGGAAAATTAATCCCCCCAAAAGGTAAAAAAGAAAGAGAATTAATTATAGATTAAAAAACCTCTTTCTGCCTAGTAGCAGTATCAAGTAAATCAAGAACATCAATATCAGTCTCCACATCGTATTTCTTCATCACTTCAGGCTCCCTAAACTCCGCCAACGGAATTAAAGCTAACAAAACGAAACGAAAATATGTATTAACAACACAGAGTTTAACTTCTATATTGATAGATCGGCTAAAAGATAACTACAATTAACTGTTAAATTAATAACCGGAAAACTAAGGTTGATTACTTACGAGAACCAGATTTAGCCCAGAGCTTATTACGTGACTCATCAGAAGAATGAGTTTTGATGTGGATGATGTAAAAGGTGTCACCTTTGTCAGCTAAATTATCGATGGCCCATTTCAGAGCAGTTTTGCTGCTCTTTGAGAAATCCATTGCTACACCAATCGTTCTGTCTTTCACCATTTTCGCTTACTGATTTTTTCTTCTTTGTTTTTTCTTCTTAAAAAAGAGATGCAGAGCACTTTCTTGCGTGTGAAAACTGAAAGCAGAAAAAAAAATACGCGTTAAGGCAAAGAGATATAAAGCTAAGGTTCGCTCGGGACAGCTATTTAAGGATATCGTTTTCTTAGTGCCGCTTGTTTCTTTCGCTTTCAAAGTGAGTCCGAAACTTAAATAGTGCCAAAATTGGCACAAAATACGTTTCTACTGTTAAAAATAAAATTACATAAATATATAAAATGCAGTATAATATTGCGTTTTACTTTAACGAAAAGTTAGCCGTTAAAGTTAAACGCAGTACTATACTGCATTTTATTAAAAAATTATTTTTTTTAGGAAAACGCAGTACAATACTGTATTTAACTTAAACGCAGTAGTGTACTGCGCTTCCCTATAATATTTGGGCCCACTTCTGCAGGACTGCAGAGAATTAATTTTTAGTGTAAAATGCAGTATTATACTGCGTTTTACATTGAAATGTATTATTATACTGTGTTTTACTCTGATTTTTGGGCCCACCAATAAGTGTTCTGCGGATAACTGACATAACAATAATTCAAATACATAAAACGTGGTATTGTACTGCATTTTACATTAAAAAATTCTGCACCCCAGGCTCGGACTTGCCTTATTTAAAGGCGTTTCAACTTATGAAAATCCATTCAATACTTTCTTCAAACTTCCGTTCATACTTCTCTCTTCTTCTTGTCAATCATTTTTTATAATGTCTGAAGAGCCAAAAATAAGGGTTTCATTATATTGGAGGGTGAGGTTGTGCTGGAGAATAACTCTGTAAGGTATAGCTCACCTCCACAGTGTCATGTTAAATTGCCGCTTACAATGGAGTACGATAAATTGGTATCGTTGTTACGTAAAAGGATGAGTGTGAGGAAGCGTTCGGTTAACCTTAAAGTAACCGATAGATTTCCGTATTCAGTGACTCCGCAGGGGTTTGCTTATTATTTTGAGTTTAACATCGAAGATGATGAAACTTTTAGAGATTTTTTGTGGATTCCGGATGAATATAGGGAATTTATTATAATAAAATTGTTGGAAATATACGTCAGATTGAAGACGTTCCCAATAATGAGGGCGTGCATAGTAGGGATAACCCCCCGTCATCGAGTGGTTATTCTAGAGCAGTTTTTGCCGGACAGATTGCTGATGAAAGAGCTTGCCTTGATTTAAACTTGTCACCACCGGCGAATGAGCAGCCACAAAATGATTTTTCGACTTTATATAATCCACAAGACGACTGGTAAACTTCAATTTTTCTACGCTTTAGCATTGTTTATTTTATGTTTTAATTGGATTTGTGTTAACACTCATATTTTTCATAGGGGGTACCGTCCGGATATGAATTTTACAAGTTATGACCCCCCTAGTTGTAATATGCGTAGTTCTGGCGTATTAGACCATGGTGGTCTATCTGGGAGTCGTCACCAACAAGAAAATATCCATCATGAAACGTCAAGACAGTACGACTTGTAAGTAAAGTGATATAGATATATGTAAAGTATTTATCTAGTTGGGTAACTTATCATTTTGTTCTTTTTGTGCAGTGAAAACGAGCTTCTTGATGTTCCTGACCTTAGACAGTTGCCCATAGACGACGTATTGACTCGTGATTCGGCAGATGTGCAGAGCCAGGAAGATGATAGTGATTATGACAACAATGCGGATGAGTCTGGAGATGACACACCCTTCCCTGATGAGGGTGATGAGGAGGAGGAAGTAAATGTTGAACCTGAGCTGACGAGGGAGCATGTTCCTCCACCCCCACTAGACAAAGAGTATACGAGTCCCACGTGCCATTTCATGAGCGGAATATTTCCTACCTTGATAATTTTCCAAGTATGCCGAACGTGGATGCCCTCACAAGGGATAATGATGAAATTCGGTCAGCGATGTGGGATGAGTCTAGACCAGCGGTTCTGACAAAGGGCATGTATTTCCCTGATAAAGCTCGCCTAATTAGGGTTGTAAAAATCTACAGTGTAAGAGAGTGCCGTGAGATGACGGTAAGGGAGTCAACTACGGAGGTATACAAGGCTGTATGCCGTAGAGACTTTATGGATTGTCACTGGATGTTGCGTGCCAGCAAGAAGAAATCAGGTTTGTGAAAAGTGGATAAATATATTAGCACCCATAGATGTGAAATGGACACATTCAATGAGAATCATTTTAACCTGGATGTAGACTTGACTTCTCTTGTCTTGATTCCATATTTAGAAGTGTCCATTAGGTTCAAGATTAAAGAGTGTATTACAGCCGTCCATCAGGACTATGGTTGTACTATAACCAAAAGAAAGGCATATCTCGGTCGCAAACGTGTCTTTGAACTTATTTATGGTGATTGGGATAAGTCTTTTTCATCACTGCCCAGGTACATGGCCGCACTGCAACACTTTAACCTCGGGACTGTTGTTGAATAGAGGCTTGAGTAGAGTCCGGACAAACCGGAATATATTTTCAACTATGTGTTCTGGTCATTTAAACCAGCAATTGATGGTTTTGTGCATTGTCGTCCCGTACCGTCTATGGAAAGCATGATATTAAGCTTTTGATTGCAGTTGCAGTAGATGCCAATGGACAAATATTTCCACAAGCTTTTGCCATTTGTGCCAACGAAAGCGAAGAGACATGGACGCTTTTATTGAACCACTTGAAGCAGCACGTTGTCAAACAACGTTCAGGTATTTGTCTAATATTTGATCGACATAGTGGTATTTTAAGTTCTGTACGGCACTTGCCTGAATGGCAGGAACCCTATGCGTACCACCGTTACTGTGTAAGGTACCTGAAGGCCAATTTCCAGAAGAAATATCCTGACAAGACCTTGCATGACTTAATGTGGATGGCTGCAACTGAGCAACAGCAGTGCAAATTCATGAGGCGCGTGGAAGCGATCCGGCAGCTAGATCCACGAGCCTATACTTGGTTGATGGGACATAAGCTTCACATGTGGACATTGCATGCTGATGGCGGCAGAAGATGGGGAGCCCTGTCCCGTGCCCTACCCCTGCCTCGTGGGACGACTTTAGTGGTGGTAGAGGTGGCTGCAACGGCATGATCTGTTGCCAGGCCCAAACCTAAGATAAAAGGTTGACGTAAAATTTAAGAGTCATTTCGACCATATAGAATTCGGAATAATGAAAAGAGTATTCGAAAATGTTGTCACCTGTAGAAGGGGCAGAAAACCACATATGTCCACCTGGCAAAGCATGCTCGCCCGGCATATACTCCTGTACAGGTATGCCAGAATAGCAGCACCCCAGCTGTACAGGGGTAAATCATCTAGCTGCTGCAGATGATGCAGAAAGTGCATACTCACTAGATTTCCCAAAGTGTTCGGGAACAAGACACCCCCAAAAAGCAGGAGCAGCGCCAACCTCGTGTACCGCTCAATATGGAGATTCTCTGTCTCGCCGGTAATGTCTGGGTGCAATACCTCCATATGTTCTCTGATAGCTGACAAAGAAACGCGACTGCCCCCTCTAAATACAGCCTCACCCTGTGGTCTGTAACCCGTATACTGCCCCATCAAATCCAAATACTAGGTACGCGTCATGGATCTCATGTACTGGAGTAGTGCAACGGCCAGTCCATCTACGCGCAACCCATACAAAACCTGAACATCCTCAAGCGTGATGGTGGCCTCTTCAGTGGAAAAGTGAAAAGTGTGCGTCTCCGGTTGCCACAGCTCTACCAAGGCCGTGATGAGGGACCAATCAAGCTGCATCCGCCCAATCCGAAAAATCGTAAAGAAGCCCGTAGCCTGTAGGCGCTCGACTACGAAGGAATGGAAATGATGCTCCCTCAAGAAATTCCACAAATCGTCAGGTCTCCTGGCGCGGAGAGGCTGATCCGATAGATGTCCCTCCCATACATAGGAGGACCTATGGTCGCCCTACAACACTAATAGCTCATCCTCGGCTAGTCCAGGATGCATGGGCGGCAAGTCCATGTCGTCTACTATAATTTAAACAATACTAATTGTGTGTTTGTGTTATAATAAATTAAATAAATAATTATTTAATTGGACTGAGTAATTATCTATGGGTTCTAGGCTCGATATTTGAGGCTCGGTAGCACCAAGCTATACTTAATTATTATGTGTGTCAATTTCAACATTTTTAGAATTTGGTTAGTTTAATAAATTAATAATTAATTATTGATTTGGACTGACCAATTATCTATGGGTTCCAAGCTCGATATTTGAGGCCCGGTAGCACCAAGCTATCCTTAATTATTACGTATGTCAATTTCAACATTTTTAGAATTTTGTTAGTTTAATAAATTAAATAATTAATTATTGATTTGGACTGAGCAATTATCTATGGGTTCCAGGCTCGATATTTGAGGCCCGGTAGCACCAAGTTATCCTTAATATTATGTGTGTCAATTTTAATATTTTTAGAATTTTGTTAGTTTAATAAATTAAATAATTAATTATTCAATTGGGCTGAGTAATTATCAATGGGTTCCAGGCTCAATATTTGAGGCCCGGTAGCACCAAGTTATCCTTAATTATTATGTGTGTCAATTTCAATATTTTTAGAATTTTGTTAATTCAATAAATTAAATAATTAATTTTATAATTGGACTCAGTAATTATATATGGGTTACAGGCTCGATATTTGAGGCCCGGTAGCACCAAGTTATCCTTAATTATTATGTGTGTCAATTTTAACATTTTTAGAATTTTGTTAATTTAATAAATTAAATAATTAATTTTATAATTGGATTCAGTAATTATCTATGGGTTACATGCTCGATATTTGAGGCCCGATAGTACCAAGTTATCCTTAATTATTGTGTGTATCAATTTCAATATTTTTAGAATTTTAATAATTTAATAAAATAAATAATTAATTTTATAATTGGACTGAGTAATTATCTATGGGTTCCGGGCTCGATATTTGAGGCCCGGTAGCACCAAGTTATCCTTAATTATTATGTGTGTCAATTTCAACATTTTTAGAATTTTGTTAGTTTAATAAATTAAATAATTAATTATTGATTTAGACTGAGCAATTATCTATGTGTTCCATGCTCGATATTCGAGGTCCGGTAGCACCAAGTTATCCTTA